GGGGTCCTGAGCCTTATTATGAGAGCAACTAAGAGTATTAGGGGAGAATCACTTCAGAAATTGCAGAGTAAGAACAAAGAAAGATATCAGATCAATAACTTAACCTTCCACCATAAGAAACTAGAAAAAGAAGAGTGACCTGAATTCAAGGCAAACAGAAGGAAAGAAATTATAAAGATCAAAGCAGAAATAAATGAAATAGAGAATAGAAAAACAATGGAGAAAATCAATAAAACCAAAAGTTGGTTCTTTGAAATGATCAAGAAAATTGATAAACGTTTAGGTAGACTGACCAAGGAAAAAGAGAGACGACACAAATTACTAAAACCAGGAATGAAAGTGAGGACATGCCTATCTATAAAAAGACTGTAAGAGAATTCTATGAACAATTGTATGCCAAAAGTTAGATGACTGAGATAAAATGAATAAACTCCTAGAATGACACAAATTATCAAACTAACTGAATAAGAAATAGACATTGAATTGTGGGTACTATGGTATATGAATTATATCTCAATGAAGTTGTTATAAAAAATTAAAAATAAAACCCAAAATCCTTATAAAAAAGAAATAGAAAATCTGAATAGACCTATAACAAGTAAAGAGATTGACTTAGTAAGTAAAACACTTCTAACACTCACACACACAAAATAAGCCCAGGTCTAGATTGATTTACTGGTGAATTCTACTAATCACTTCAAGAATGAATACCAATACTTCTCAAACTCTTCCAAAGAAACAGAAGACGAGGGAACACTTCCCAACTCATTCTATGGGAGTAGCATTACCCTGATACAAAAACTAAACAGAAACATCACAAGAAAAAAAAATAATTACAGACCAATGTCCCTTATGAAAATAGAAGCAAAATTCCTCAAACGATCCAGGAACATATAAAAGGATTGTACACAATGACTGTATTACTTGGCCAGGACTGCCATAACAAAGTATCACAGGCTTGGTGGCTTAAGCAAGAGAAATTTATTTTCTCACAGTTCTAAAGGCTAGAAGTCCAAGATCAAGCTGTCAGTGAGGCTGATTTTTTCTGAGGCCTCTCTCCTTGGCCTATAGATGGTGATTTTCTCTCTGTGTCTTCACATGGTCTTCCCTCTATCTATATCTGTGTCAAAATTTCACCTTATAAGGACACTGGGATCAGGGCCCATACTAATCACCTCATTTTAACTTAATTACCTGTTTACAGACCCTATCTCCAAATATAGTCACATTCTGAGGTACTGGGGGTTAGGACTTCAGCATATGAATTTAGAGGGACACAATTCAGCTCATAAAAATAGCCAAGTGGAATTTATCCCAGGAACATAAGGTTGGTTAAACATGAAAATCAGTCAATATTCTATACCATATTAATAGGATAAAGGCCAAAAACAGATGATCATCTCAACAGAAAAAGCATTTGACATAATCCAACATCCTTTCATGACAAAGTCACTCAAAAAACTGAGAGTAGAAGGGAAAATCCTTAACCTGATAAATGGAGAGGGAACAGCTAGGCCCACTAGATGCCCTAGATGTTAAGCTGCCCAGTGTCCAGGGCCAGTGGAATATGGAGATAGTGTGTACTGCCCCATGCTCAGGAATCTGGGGCTATTTCTGGGGCCTGTCAGAACCAGGTGGAGACAGGTCCAGCCTGCAGCAGCTTTAACAATATTGGCAAAAATAGCAGATGTGATTTTTTCTGAGCTGAAGAGGGTGGGCTATTAAGGGATTTAGTGGTGGAGGAGGCATTAGACGGTCCCCAGAGAGCAGGCTGATGAGGATTCTGAGTGATGTATCTGAGAAGCACAAGGGGCAGTGGGCAGTGAGAGTGGTCCAGAGGAGGGTACTGGAGGTGAGGAACTCTGGCAACCTATGGCCCAGGAGAACTGAGAAGTTGGCATCTCCTGAGGTTGAGAAGACATCTATGACAGGAGGGTTGGTGAGGTGGGGAGTGAGGCTGTAGGGCCTGGGTTTCAGAAAGCGCCATCACAGATGGGTAAATGCTTCTACTCTCCTTCCACCACAGGATACTTCCTAGGGTCCAGAGCACTTGGCTGGCCAGGGCTTCCTGGAGAGAGGGTGGGTATGTGGGGGCAATGCAGGGTACTGAGGGTAGGGGCTCGAGGTGCAGAAGGCAAGCCCTGGTCCTAGGAAGTAGCCTGGAATGCAGGATGGATACTGGTAAGAAAATGGGACAGGGAGGCTGATTCAGGTCTCTGTCTTAGATCCCAAGACCCTGAGGAGCCCTTGACTGGCCATGATGTTGAAAGAATAGTACCCACCAAATTATATGCTGGTGGGCTTTGGGAAGTAGATACTCTGCCTCTACAAGTTTTTCACAGTTTTGAGGGCACATTGGAGACATCTGAGTCTTGTTCCAGACATTCTCATGTAAATGGCCTCCACTATGACCTAGAAATGGGAATTCTTAAAGCTACACAAATGGTTTAGAAACAGATTTTTGGTAAGTGGTACATTGAAGACAACCCAAATCCTCATTTAATTTTTTTTTTTTTCTGATGAAGATTCTCCCTGAGGTAATATATGCCGCCAATCTTCCTCTTTTTGCTTGAGGAAGATTCGCCCTGAGCTAAGTGTTGCCAATCTTCCTCTATTTTGTATGTGGGTCACCTCCACAGCACCGCCGTGGACCAGTGATGTAGGTCCGTGCCTGGGAACCGAACCTGGGCTGCCAAAGGGGAGCATGTGGAACTTAACCACTAGGCCACAGGCTGGCCCCCTCATTTAATATTCTTAATGTGACCATGTCTGCATGGTTCCCAAGAGAAAATAGTAGTGATATAATCCAAACTCCCCGCATGGCGCTACATCACCTGACCCTCCTCACCTAGCCATCCTCATCTCCAGATCACACTTAAATGTGTCTCTCAGGACCATAATGAGTGCTTTGCTATAAAGCCGCAGTTGGCCCCAGCTTCCAAGCAGAGCGGGTCACAGCCTATGTTTTGAGGCCTAAGTAGATGTGAAAGTTTGGCTTTTTCACAACATTATTATATCACTTAACATTGAACAGAAAGCCATTGCTTAGAGCTGACCAGTGAACTCTCTGTGGAGTGGATGTAGGGGTGAGGAGGTAGGGCTGTTGTGGGCAGGGTGAGTAGAGGGCGCCAAGAAGCAAAGGAAGAGAAAAGAACTAAGGTAGTGAGGAGTCGGGGCTCGACACCTGGGAGCCAGAACCTGGAGCCTGCCTCCATCCTCGGAGTGAGCTGCTGTAGCACCTTCCAAGACAGGCATCAGGCCCTCTCTGCAGAAGCCGGCAGACAAGACCCTCTACCCTGAGACATGCAAAAAGGGGTCGGACTGGAAGAGCTTTCCGGTGGGCCACCATATTTCCACCCTCACCAGTGGTGGGAGGAGCTACGAAGTCCCGCCCACCAGCCCCCTGCATCTCAGTGGCCTCCACCAAGCGCACTACGCCCCCATTGGCTGGATGGTGGGCGCTGGAAAACTAAAGTACCTCAAGTGGCAGCTGCAGTCAAGGCTTGTGTGAGCCCCTCTGGCTAGAGGTTGGGCGGTACGAGGAGCTGGCACGACCTCTGAGCAACTGCCGTGACCAGAGTGAAGCTGCGGGGCAGAGACTTAGAAGCAAACCTCGCGCCCATTGTCACACGGGGCCCAAGCTGCCCTGTCGACGGGACCATGTTCCGGTTTATTTCCAGGGCTCTTGCCTTCTGGAGGAGAATGTACTCGTCGGAGTCACAGAGAGCTCAGTATCTGAGGCTCTTGGAAGGTACTGAACTCACCCCCTCCCTCTCCAGGGACCTGCACTTAGGCGTGCGCCCGACTCCTAGTTCTGGGCCTCAAGGGCTCAGGAGGGCGCTGCATGCCTGAGGCGGCGCCACCTTGTGGGTAGGGCGTCCCTGGTCCCTGAGCACACCCCGCACTCTCCTGTCTGAAGCGGCGATGGTGTAGACAGAGAAGGCCCCTGGGGAGATGTGCCCCATCCTTGCATTTCCCCAGATACTTTTGGAACTTACATTGTGCATATGTTATGCAAATATGCAACAGATTCCTCCTCATATTTCCAGTAGAGTGCATCTCCGTGATTTGAGGGTACATTTGATTTTGTTTCCCAAATGGGCATAGGTTTTGAAGCCAAGTGGACAGTCATATAGCTCGTCGGTAAGAGTGCAGAGATGTGTTTAACTTGCTCACCTGTGTATCCTAAAAACCTGCCCCAGAATTGGCACTGAGTGGATGACTGGGGACACTTTGAAGGCGTCGTTTTGTGGGTGGGGATCCGTTAAAGCTGAGGTTTGCTGGGGTGATGGCATCCCTGTTCTGAATCGCATCAGTTCCGATGTGTGTCGAGTCCTTGTCTGCGCCAAGCACTGGGCCCGAGGCCTCAAGGGCATTCGTGTCATTTAATCCTCAAAACACTCCCAGGAGAGCAGCCAGAGTCTTGTCAAGTCCGTTTCACAGCCGAGTCAGGGAGTCACAAGCAGGAAGGAGAGGACACGGGGCCAGTCTCCCCCAGACCCTGAGGCCCAGCAGCCGTTTCCTGCCCTGGGCAATCCCCGCCCCAGAGGCCCTTCCTCCCGCAGGAGTCACTGCCCAGTGTGCTCAGGATGGGCCTCTGGAAGAGACGCCTCTTTGGTGAGCATTATTCTCTCAGTGGAGACCCGGCCTTCCCGCTGCCCGACTCTCCCTAAATAAATCAAGATAAAGCACAGATGCTGACAGACACAGTGCAAAGCTATGGCAGCTTGGTGCTGAGATACTGAGTATAGTTCCCCAGGGAGGAGTTTGGCGGCGCCCCTCTTGCTGCCCGGGATGTGCGCTGGCTCTATAATGGCTCACTGCAAAACAAACGCAAAACACTATTTTCCATTTTTGCCTTTTTTCATAAAAGGTAAAATCCTCTTCGGTTTGCCTTCAGTTAGCGAAAGCAGGTACTCCTGCAGGTCTTTCGTAAAAGCAATGTGGCGTAAAGCGAACTTTCAGATAAGACGGGGGTGCAGGGGCAGGGGACGGGGGCAGGTACCTGTACAGTATTTTCATGTGCCTAAGTGACAGTTGTCACCGTTGTTCCTTCCACTTTTTTGCATTTTATGATTTCACCTGACAAATTTGATCTATTTTTTCCAAATTTTCAGGATTTTCTTGGCGTCTGATTCCATAATCTATTATAATCAAGATTTTCCCCAGCCATCCTGTCAATTCCCCCAAGTCTTTGGGGAAGTACCTAAGGCATTGTGGTTCATAGTGTGGGCTCTGCAGGCTGACTCTCTAGGTTCAGATCCCAAGTTATGGCTTACTAGCTGAGTTTGTTCAGAAAAAACTAAACCCAAGTGATTCAGATGCTTATTTGGGCTAGATTTAAATCTCCAGATTTCTTTGTATGCTTTGTCTGGTGAGATGTTTAAGAATCTCCAGATACTGCTGCTGATGCCATTGTTGATAATGGTGAAATTATATAACAACCATGCATGCTTAAAGACTGTCTAGATGCAGATACCATGACAACAACTAACATATAAGCGCTACCCTGTGGGAGACATTCACAATTCCAAGCAGTTGATGTGTATGTGTCAGTTAATATTTATAGCAACCCTTTTTTCCCCAGCTTTATTGAGATATAATTGACATATAGCATTGTGTAAGCTTAAGGTGTACAATGTGATGATTTGATATTTGTCTATATTGTGAAATGATTACACCATAAGGCTAGTTAATACTTCCATCACCTCACATAATTATCTTATTTTCTGTGGTGAGAACATTTAAGATCTACTCTCTTAGGCAGATATTGTTGTTGTCCTGGTGTTACAGATAAAGACAGGCTCAGAGAGGTTAAGAAATGTGCCCAGGGTTACAGAGATGGTAAGTGGAAGAGCTGTGGTTCCGAACCAGGCAGTCTGGCTCCAGACTTAGTGCTCTTAACAATGACACTGCACCGCCTTGGACATGGAGCCGCTCTGCTATCCAGAGAAATGGTGGAATCAGAATTTAAATCTGAACATTCTGCCTCTAGAATCCTGCACACTTACCCACTATGCTCTACTGTCAGTGTCACCTGTGTCTCACGTCCAGCCCAGTTTATTTCTAGATTTAGATCATTGTCTACCATATCTTTTTCTGGTAGGACTTATTTGTAATGTGTATTTGCTTTTGAGATTAATTAATGAAAAACTTTTGTTTACTCATCTTTTAGATGACACCAGGTTTAAAACTGTGCAGGGAGTTGTGACAAAGTTATGTGATGATTATGGCTTGATTGATGAGTTGATCTACTTCAGCAGTGATGTTGTAACTGGCAGTGTGCCTCTGAAGGTTGGACAAAAAGTTACTGCAGTTGTGGAAGAAGATGAAACATCTCATGGATTGAAAGCGATCAAAGTAAGATTAGTATGAGTTTGGGGACTGTCTTTATTCCTGGGGAGTTTTCAACCTTGCTACTATTTATTCAGCCTATCTGAAGTACCCTGGTATAGTGGAGCCAGAGTGGAATTTGAAGTCCCATTTACCGTATTGTGTGGGAATTTGTTCTTATCTTTGTAGTGGTTTCTGTTTGTAAAAGTATAAATTGTACATCTACTCTTCAGCATTTACAAATGTGCTTACCAATGATAATTATTAGAGTCTATACTATCCTGAAACTTACTTTTTTCACCCAAGTAAAGGAATTTTTCATTTGTTGAAATGTAATTGCTAGGTGAACAGACATATCTTTTAATCTCTTTTTAAAAACAGCTTTAGTGAGGTACAATTTATATACCATAAGATTCTCTGGTTTTAAGGGTGTAATTCAATAACAGTTTTAGTAAATTTACAGAGTCATGCAACCATTACCTCAGTGCAGATATTTACCATTTTAATAGGTGTAGTCAGATTATGCTTCAGCTTTATTGTACTAATTGACAGTTTGCAGCAGGATGTGAAGCTGCCTGTTTGCCAGTATTGACAAGAATGAAAATATTATCAATCTTCGAAATCTTTGCCAATCTGAAAAGTGAAAAGCAGTCTCATAATTTTGTTTTGCATTTCTTTAAGTGTTGGTGAGAGTAGAGAAACTTTCCTTTTCTTAGAGCTATTTATGTATTAGGAACATCAGAGCTATTTATTAGAGCTTTGTTAGGAAATTTTTCATGTAAACGTTTTGTAAAATACTTCCACCAAGACTGTCTTTTAACTTTTGTGGAGTTTAATTTTTATATACTATAAATGTGTCCATCTTGTCCACGTGGCTTTTCTGTTCCAAAAAAATCCTTACGAAGGCTTATTCCACTTCATAATTTACACAAATATTCACTTACGTTTTCTTCTGAAAGTTATTTATTTATTTACATCCAGATATTCAGTCTGATTGGAGTTAATTTGGGTATAGTGATTAAGAGAAGGATCCAGATTTTATTTTGTTATTGGCTACCCTGTTGTCCCTGTACCTTTAATGGAATAATCCACTTTTTCCCTACCGAGTTAAAGTGCCACTTCTATCATGCGCTGCATTCTTATAGACGTTTGCATCTGTGGGGACATCCTATTGTGTTTATTTGATTGTATTATGCACTGCATTCTTATAGACGTTTGCATCTGTGGGGACATCCTATTGTGTTTATTTGATTGTATTATCTTGCCCTGGAGGTATGATCAAACGGTTTGAATTACTGAAGCATTATAACATATTTCAATGTTTGGGAGCCTGGTTTCCCTGTCAAAACTTTTGCTTAAGTTTTTGGAATTTTCCTGACCATTCTTGTATGTTAGTTTTTCTGTATCAGTTCAGAAACATTGTGTTTAGTTACCCTACTCCTAACCACAACAACCACAACAACACCTGTGGGAGTTTTAAATTGGGATGACTGAGTTTATAGATTTAATTGAGGGAGCGCTGACATAACAATAATAGTCTTTTCCTCCAAAAAGCATGTCTCTCCTTTTATATGCTTCTGAATTGTTTTATACTTTTCTTCAAATGGGTTCTATATATTTCCTGCCAATTTTGTTTCTCAAATTTTTAATATTTTTGTTCCATTATCAATATACATTTCAATTTAAATCATTTATGTAACGTTTAAGAATAAAATTTTAACTTAAGAATAATTTAAATCACTATTAGTATATTTATGTATTATATGTTCAAACCAATTTTGTCTACTATTATATAGTATTGATTTTTGTTATACAATTTGGTAGATGGCAAACTTACTGAACTCTTCTTTGTGTCTTTCTTCAATGGTTGAGATGTACTTTATCATTATTATTGCTATTATATAGCAACTGTCAGCTGAATGCTTAATATAAACTTTCTCTACATTTGAAAAGTTTTATATATATGTAAAAATCATACATAAATAATTCAAACCCTAGAAGGATATAAAATGAAAAGTAAAAATCACCCTTCACATCCTCCTGGGCAACTTTTATTCCTCAGACATGGTGCTTTTTGTGGTTTTCACTTTTAGAAATAGAAGCCCTCTTGTCATGGGCACCTGGATAACACGCATAATATTCTTACACCTTTTCTTGATTTAGCAAGATTAGCCAATATTTGCTGACTTTGCATCATGAAAGATGTGGAATTTGGCTAAATTGCATTGTCCATTTTTCTGTTCCTTTTATCAGTATTAATTTATACAAACACACGTGTGCACATTCTTTTTAGTTTTTTTGTAGATTACGATTGTTAACTTCAAAATCAACAAAGAGTTTTTTGACATGTATAATGCAAAATAGTATGGTTCAGGATCTTAAAAGGGGATCTTAACATCTAGAAAGTACAGTATTTATGCTTATTCAACACTGATTGGCCTTTTCAAACAGAATCTCATTAGTTTTTAAGACCTCTGTGAATTTTAGGGCACACCAATAATTTAATAATGGAAATTTAGAGTATACATTAATTGTGGTTGCTCTCTTGGTTTCAGAAATGTTAAAATGTGAAAAAAGGAGCCTCTTGAAATACAAGAAAGACTAGTTATAGCCTTATCTGGTTTCCATTTTATTGGAATGCATGATACTAACAGATGTTTTGAAATATCTTAGGTATGTTAAAGAAGTGTCCTCTGTATTACATTTGTAGATCTTTTTGAAAATTAAGGATGATGAATTTTCCAAATGTTTTTCAGTACCCTGAAGATCTTCATCTAGTTTTTCTTTCCTTTGAGCTATTGATATGGAGGAAAATATGAATCATTGTCCTAATATTGAGCCATTCTTATTTTATGTGAATGATCCTCATTTGGTTATGATGTATAATTCTTATAATGTCCTGCTAGATTTGCTTGCTTATTCTATTTAGATGTTTGGATTTCCATATTGATCTAAAGCTGTCTCTTTTATACTATGGTTATCAGTTTTTGCAGTCACTGTTATATTAGATTTATAAAAGGAATTGTGAACTTTCCTTCATTTTTTATATTTCTGCACAATTTAATATCAAAATTTTATATTCCATGAAGATTACAAGGAAGTCATCTGTCAAGCCACCTTAGGACTGGCAGTCCACGGGGTATAGGGTTGGGTAGCTTTTCATTTCCTTCCAAAGCTGGTCTGTCTTTGTTGTTTGTTTTAACAAACAACATAAATCTACCCATGTCTTCACTTATCCCTTCCTCCTCCTTCTGTCCTGCTAAAACAGAAAAGGTGTCTTTCCTTCTGAGCCAACTCTCCATACCTGTATTTTGGATCCCATTCTCTTTGCTTTCGTGGAACCCTTTCTCGCATATTGAGTATCTCTTCACTTCCTGTCTTTTTACGTTCTCCCTCTTTTAAAGACCAGTATCCATCAGCATTTAAACACGCTCAAATCTTAGCTCACAAAATACAAGTCCTGGCCCCTCAGATTGCTTTTTCTTTTAGCTTTCTCTCTTCCCTTTGCAGGCAAGGCAACTCGACAGAATTATCTGTCTCTGTTGCCATCTCTTCCTGTCATGTGTCAATCCACTTAAATCTGACTTCCTCTTCCACCTACCCGCCATGAACCCAAAACTATCCTTGCTCAGGTATACAGAAATCACTTAGCAGAAAATGTGGGAGAGATGGGCGGAGCAAAATGGCAGGGTGAGCTGACCCGGGATTCTCTCCCCTCCAAAATACAGCAAAAGATTGGAAGAACTGAATTTCAGAGAATAAACATAATGCCAGCTCATTAGAGACCTACAATACCAAGAAGGCGGAGATCATAAACCTAGCTTTACCCCTTCGGAGGCGCTGGAACGGTAGGAGAGAACATCGCTCCCTCCCCTAGAGTCTGCGATCGCTGCCTCGGGGGTCGGGAAGGAGTGAGGGAGGGGCCGCGCGACCGGGGGATCATCCAGGACTCCTGCGGCTGATTCAGTGGAGACCCGCTGATGGGGGGAAAGCTTCCGTCCGCAGGGACCCTATAAATCAAGGGCCTTGGGAGACCAGAGAACAGAACTGATCTGAACCCAGACCGGCACGTGTGAGTAACAGCCCCTCCCCCACAGCAAAGCCAGTGGGCGCAGCCATCTTGCCCCAAGGCGGAGAGCTCGTAACACGCTGCTCTCGACCCCCATCTAGTGGCGACAGGCTGTAACTGCAACTGAATTCTACCACCATGAGAAGAAACCGCTCCTCTACCATCCAGCAATTTATAAAAGCCCCAGACCAGAAGGAAAACAATAAAAACACAGAATTAAGTCCTGAGGACTTGGAATTAGGTAAACTAAGTGATAATGAATTCAGAGCAGCTATAATCAAAAAACTCAATGAGGTAGAGAGAAAGATAGAGAAACAAACTGAGTTCTGGAGTTACTTCACAAAAGACATTGAAATCATAAAGAAGAATCAAACAGAATTACTTGAGATGAAAAACACAATGGACCAGATAAAACAGAATACGGATTCCCTGAATGCCCGTGTAGACAACCTAGAGGAGCAAATCAGCATAATCGAGGACAGACAGGCTGAATGGCGCCAGACAGAGGAAGAAAGAGAACTAAGAATTAAAAAAAAATGAGGAAAATCTCCGAGAGATAATGGATTCAATGAGGAGTAAGAACATAAGGATCATAGGAATTCCCAAGAATATGGAAAAGGAAAATGGAGCAGAAAGTGTGCTTAACGAAATTATTGAAGAGAACTTCCCAAATCTAGGGATCAACGGAGAAATGTGTGTAGAGGAGGGTTTTAGATCTCCTAGATTTGTCAATGTAAAAAGACCCACCACAAGGCACATAATAGTAAAGTTGGCAAATAGGAATGATAAGGAAAGAATACTCAGGGAAGTAAGAAAAAAAAAGAGAATAACCTATAAAGGAGCCCCTATCAGACTGTCAGCGGATTTCTCTACAGAAACCCTACAAGCTAGGAGAGAATGGAGTGATATATTCAAAGCTTTAAAGGATAAAAACCTTCAGCCAAGAATACTCTATCCA